AATACTTCATACGATATCAAAACTCATACCTGAACATATTCCACTCGTTGGTCTTTCACTCTGTCAGAGTTTCATTCGAAAGGGACGCGGTACGCCTGTTTCATACGGAACCGGTGCTTTCGGCAGATACGATCAATTGTGGAGGGGCTGATGGCATTTATCCCTCGAAAATGATGATTATCCTCAATCACTCTTCTTTGAATCTCTCGCAGGCAGATTACATTAGTATGTTTACAAGCTCCCTCTCTTGCTCCTCCGACAAAAGCCTTAGCCTGCCTCCACCAGGTGGTCGTCTCTGTGTCCTACAAAAATAGAAGCACTCATTACTGTAACTGTCACACATCCTTTTTACAGGAAAAAATGGAAACATACTGAAACTCTATCTGTATGCGAGGCAATTTGATGCATTTCTTTATTACAGTAGCACAGTGCAACACTCTAAAGTTTCTAAAGTTACTGTACAGAGCAGTCTTACTGTAAGTACACCTACTTGTTTTCCTCCCTGATGATGGAGGCGATGGAGGCGACGGTGAAGCGACTCAAATTTGGCTGTACTCATTGCCCAGCCTCCCTCATAGTCATACCATGGACAAGGACATGGTCAACTAAAGTGGCTCGAATTTCATCTGAGACTGCTTGTCTCCTTGCCCTCCTCCTCCTTCACTACGTCCTCTTCCTCTCCCTCCTCCTTCACCATGTCCTCTTCCTCCTCCACCACGTCCTCTTCCTCTCCCTCCTCCTCCTCTTTTCCCTCCTCCTCCTCTTCGACCTATTCCTTCATTTCTCTGTGGATCCATTGTTCCAAAGCTCAGTGAACTGATTCGGGCCCTTTTATCTATTTATTGAAGGATCTGATTGATGTGTGTTAAATTTTGACTCTTAGTGTTGGGTAATTGGTAATTGTTTGCTAATTGAGCTCAAGCTGTGCTGACTTGAGTGAACAGTATTGAATGCTTCTAAATGACAACAGTTCACCAAATCTGACTCATGTGTTAAAGCAGGGGAATAGTGTTTATAGTTCAGCAAGATGGGTGTGCTTTTTGAAAAATGGCGTTATGGTTTTGAAATTTATTGAATAGCTCAAAAGCCTGGTTATAGTGTTTTAGCAATCGAGAAAAACTGTAATAAAACACAATCTAATAGACTGAAAAAATATTTATTGTTGGTTTCCTGTAGCTGTATCCCTTCTAGCCACAACTGCGAATATAACACATAATTACTGTATTTGCATTGTTGTAAGGGTAGGTTTAGGGTTGGGGAGGTGTAGACGTTAATAAACCATAATTTTACAGGTAGCATGTTTCGTTGTCGAATTGTACTACCCACTGTTTTAATGGGAGGTAGCAAAATCTGACAGGGTAGCACAAATCGACAGAACACCGGAATTCGGGTTGTAAATATTAATTATTGACCCACACATATGCCCTCAACAATGGCATTTGCTGCTAAACTGACATATTTAAATATGCAATTAGCATGCATAAAATGCATTATTCAATATATATTCTTAGGGAAACTAATGGAAATATTTGTAATTCAGCTCTTAAGCCACCTTTCCATCATCTCTGACATTCGCATGATTGCTGTATTTCGCCCCCTAGTGGCAGTCGCACATATTTTTTTTAGATTTGCTATGAACTAGGCATGGGCCGATTACCGGTTTCAAGGTATACCGCGATTTGAAAATGTCACGGTTTCAAAATCGCTAATATTTTCCGTTATACCATTTCTGCGGTATGCGCTGTTTTTCATGTCTCCTCAAAGACTGAAAGTGTAGGAATCCCTCAGGTTGAGTGCAGTGTAGAGAGAACACGACATCCTCCTCCTCCGGTTGGTGCGAGCGAGTGGTCAGTCACGTGTGTGTAGGATGGCCGAACTTAAGGAGCTTTCCCTGGAACTTATGCGATCAGCAACCGGACGTTTTTTGTCTTATTGCAAGCAACTCGTCTTTGTTCTGGACTTGCACAAACTGCGTTGCAATGCAATCGTTTTCCAAAATGTAATTTATTTGAAAATATGAAGTCTGTAAACGCCCGTTAACACAGGCCAGATGTTGAAGACGGACGCACAGAGAAAAATACTGTAGCAGGCAGATCACTCACTGTTCATGATGCACAAACTATTGGAAGAAAATCCTCAATATTGATTTGGGGGTTTATATGAATGTCTTCAGAAAAGTTTACGTGGTCTTTTCTTTTCATCTCGTCACTGTATAGTTCATATTAAAGCAGTGTTTCAGCACAGTGTTGCTTTGTTTACAGCGGTAACCAAGGAAATCTGTGTCTCATTCAGAGCTTCTGCTGTTTGTTTCATTCAGGCATGTAGTATAATTTCACAAAGCTAGTCAGAACATTCTGTTTTTGCTTCAAATTGGGTTATTATTAAATCAAATTATGTATATGCAATTATATAACTAAATTATATGAAATTATATAAATGATATGTATATGAATTATATAACTAAAATTAAATAACTGTAATTACAGATTTAGGTTAAATAAAGATGTCAGACTTTATTTTTCTTCTTTTTAGGAAACAAAAATAAACAAATTTTACTGTTCCTAATATTCTGTATGTTGCTCAAAAACAAAATATATTGTGTTCAGCGGGAAAATTTTTTTTTTTTACCAGTCATTTAAAAAGAACACATTTTACAGCTGTAACAACAATACCGCGATACCGTGAAACGTGATATTTTTGCTTAAGGTTATCATACCGTCAAAATCTCATACCGGCCCATGCCTACTATAAACCAACCACCTTCGCTTATTCGGCATGGCAATTTGGCAAGATAAATTATTTGAATGAATATAATAAAATATATATCTACACAAAACAATCGACCCTCAATAATTCTGAAAGAAAAGTAGGTCTCTTTACCTGTGTACACTCAACTGTACACAGCTCTGAATGTTATGGTGAGGCAGGAAAGGAAAGGAAGAAGAGAGTCTATTTGCAGCAATAATAGTGTATTTACAAAACAGAGGTAATAACAAGAACTCACAAAGGAGAACATAGCAGTTTTGCACAACAAGACAATACTGGACTCTGAACTGAAAGGAACTGGTGACATTTAGAAAACAATGAACAAAACAGAACATGCAGATAAAGACAATGAGTAAAAACAACTGGAAACTAGAACAAAAGAAAACAGGAATGAAATGAATGAATGGGAAAACAAGGAAATACAAACTAAAAGCCCCTGAAACAGAAACTGAAACAAAGCTGAGTCACTGTTGTGATAATAAACACGCTGTGATTAGGTATTATACGACTCACCCTGGACAGTGACACTAAAGATCTTCTCACTGATGCTGTTGCTGCTGATAATCTGTAGTTTATAAAGTCCAGAGTCTGTGGTTGTGATGTTTGTGATGGTCAGAGATCCAGTCTGATTATCCAGCTTCAGTCTGCCTCTGAATCTCTTAGTGCCTTCATTACACTGAACATCTGTACAGGTCTTACTGAGATAGTCACTGATTTGAGCAATGCGAGTGTCATTAAAAAACCATTTAATCTTTTCTTGCTGGTTTGTTTTAACATCAGTGTGTAGAGTGACTGAATCTCTCCCCATCACAAACAATGACACCCTGTCTGCATCAATGCCTGATGCACCTGGAGAAGAAATAAACATTAGCCCTATAACTTCTAAGAAAGCATAGCCTATAACACAATACATTTTTAATGCATTCAATGTATGTTTGTGTGAGCCTTTATCAGATCACAAAGTTTCAGTTTCATAACTGATCAAACCATTTGCATACATAGCAAAACAGACAATGTACTACAGTATAGCCTACACCACTGCAAGTGCTGAGGAGGATCCAGGAAGCAAGTTGCCTCTAAAGCTATTAGTCATCAGTAGTTCACAAAGATAAGGTGTATGCTGTTTTTGAGGAAATTAACCAAGGAATGCTTTATAACCTATCTGTATCTGCAAAATAAGCTGGGACTGAATTAAGCATTTAAATAGCCTAAAGAAAAACTATACTTACTTTCACTGTGTTTACGTGAATGCCAGAATTTTGTGTTTGTATTTGACCGTTTAGGCACGCACTCTAAACCAAAAGTATACAGTGCAGAGACATATCAAAGCCACGAGATCTATTTCGCAGTAGCCTATAATGTGCTTTTAATAACTGCTCTTATTATCAACCACGTTAGCCTACGTGATTTGACTGATTTGGACGTTAAATTCGGGTTTACAAGGAAGGGTAAACACCGTTTATCTTGTGTTTATAATCGTTGTAAATCGAAATCGAAACTAAAGTGGATTCATCGCACAGCGATAAGCGTCTCAAAACAACGCAACAGCTATTACGTATTAGTGTTGATAAGAGCTGGGCTACAAAATGAAACTGAGTCACATTCACCATTCGACAAATACATGACTTACCTAGCTGTAAAACCAACACTGGGACGAAAATGAAAAATGTCATCACTTTTTCTCTTTCAAACTATTGCATATTCTGTTGAAACAAGAGTCTTTTTTGTTTCTATGTTGAAACCACCTATGAACGAATGACGTATTTGTGGGAGGAGGCTGCTTATGTAGAAGAAAGTGAAAGTTATTTTTTTCTCTGTTAACTACATAAATCGTGTATGACTTGGCCACACTGATTGCCCGACATACATTCAAAAGTGTTCACTCATACATAAACACATACTACATAACAGTAGTAAACTTTGAGTACACAACTTGTTTACATCAATATTTTTAGCTTGTACTGAAACTATATCAAAAGTAAACTTATAGGTATACTGATAGTTTACTAATTAGATACTTGTAGCATTTTTAGTACACTTTCAAGTATTCTCAGTAAACTACTAGTTTAGTAGTTTTATACTGCAAGTATACTCGTGTAAGTTTTTTTTAAGTGAACTTTACATCATACCTTAAGTATACTACTATGTCCCTATTTAGGTATTCATTTGTATATATTTTGTTACATGAATATCTGAACATACAAATCATCAAAAGAAAGAACAGGGTATCTGTAAAAAAAAACATTGAACTAGCTTCATGCATTCTTTTTTTAAACACTTAAATGTGGATAAGTGTCATAAATAAAGACATAAACAACATTTTGAACTACAAGCTGAAAAAAGACTATGAATTGAATTCAGAATGATAATCAAAACATAGATGGAGTCGATCAACACCCCAAAGCTTGACAGTCATTATTACCTCTTCATTGGTCGACATTTTATTCCATAATGTTACACAGTTTTGATGCTGTTTTATGTCTGATGACCGTGTTAGATTACATGTAGAAGCATCTGTTGTTTCGGTTTCTTCTTCACTTGTGTTTTTTAGAAATTCTGTACAGAAGATGTGTACTAGCGCCCCCTACCGTATAACAATGAAAACACGGATTCTAGGAGCACAATTATAGCCCAAATATATTTAGACTTTTTCCTCAGTATAAGTCAGGTATACTTAAATGTCATTTTAGTATATTTCTGAGAAGTACATAAAGCCCATTTCTGAGAAGTACATTAAAAGGTAGACTAAAAGTATACTTTCCTATTTTTAGTTTAAAAGAAGTATACTAACAGCAAACTTGAATAAACCCGTCAGCAAAGAGAAAACACAGTATAAACAAACATTCCGGAGTATTTAGGCTATCTCAACTTTTGATACCTTTTACACCAAATCAAAGTCTTTGTTCTTCTCAGCAGTTATGAGTGAAATAGCTTTTTCTATATCTGCTCCCAGGTATGATTACTCAATGATAACAACAATAATAATAATAATAATGATAATAATAATGCATGCATTTAGCAGACGCTTTTATCCAAAGCGACTTACATTTCTGTTTTGATTGTGATGTTTGTTTTGGATTATTGTCCTCTTGGAAGATCCAACAATGGCCCATTATAAGACCAATCACACATTCACTATATAACACTCACTCAGATCCCTTTCAAACTGCCGAGTATTGTTTAGCATCTATGCTGTTATGCGTAGCTCCTTTACGGAGCCAGTTCCCGGTCCTAGTTCGAGTTTCTAGTTCTGAGTCTAGTTTATCCTGTTTATTGCCTTAGTAATTTCGTGTTTTGATCCTGGCTTGTATATCTCGTTTCTGTATGATCTCTGCCTGCCCTAAAGTATTTCGCCTGTCTTGGATTACCCCTCTCGTCTCGCCCTGTTCGGATACTGTTTATTCCTCGCCTGGACCATCGCTTGTGTTTTGGATTACTCTTCAGTCTTGCACTCTATATACCTGTTTGCCATTGTCCGACCCTTGACTGTTTTGACTATGTTTCAGAATAAAGCTTTGCACATGGATCCGCACACCTCTCGTCTTGTTTGCACCGTAACAATTTCTAGTATGGACAGTCTTTTTATTTTTATCTGTTGGTATTTGATAGAATCCATGATGCCATGTATCTAAAAAAGATGTCCAGGACCTCAAGCAGAAATATAGGCCCACAACATCAAAAATACAGTAGTATATTTCATTGTACTTTTCATTGTACTTGTTATCCCTGTGTGCACCAAACCCATCTTGAGTGTTTGTTGCTAAAAAGCTCATTTTGTAGTTTCATCTGACCATAGAAGCCAGTCCCATTTGAAGTTCTAGTCGTGTCTGATAACTGAATATGCTGGGGATTGTTTTTGGATGAGAGCATTTTCTTTTCTTGATTTTTATTTTTTTCTTGAAACCCTGCTGTTTGACAATTTTTATTTAAGGTTTTCTGACCCCAAGACTCAACTATTTTCTGCAATTCTCCAGCTGTGGTCCTTGGAGAGTCTTTAGCCACTCAACCTCTCCTCCTCACTGTGCATTAGGATGATATAGACACACGTCCTCTTCCAGGCAGATTTGTAATATTTGATGTCGACTGAAACCCCTCATTATTGCCCTGATGGTGGAAATGGGAATTTTCACTGCTCTAGCTCTTTTCTTACATCCACTTTCTAATTTGTGAAGCTCAATTATCTTTTGCTGCACATCAGAACTATATTCTTTGGTTTTTCTCATTGTGATGGATGATTGAGGGAATTTGGCCTTTGTTTTTTGTATTTATAATCCTGTGACATAAATTCATATTTCCAGTACTCAACATGAAGCACTGATGCAATTCCCTGTGACAATTATTCAACCATGGTATTTGTAGTAAAACTGTGGTTTTGTTTTTATAACTGTACTGCCTTAATGGTTTGATGTTTTGTAGGCCTACAGCCAGTGCATAATAAAATTTAATAAAAAATAAAAATTTTCACATTTCTATTGTTAGGATTAAACATTCACATCTTTAATATCACAGAAAAAAACTGGCAAAGTGCACAAATATTCTTATATAATCTATCCATGATATTTATCATAAGATATTTACTAGTTGCAGCCTTTAATGACACACTGTGTAAGATAAGAGCATGAAACAGTAAATATATCAGGCATGCAATATATGCACTGAGTAACAGATATGGAAGTTATGAATGTTTACTCAAGCTAAAAAGAAATAAAATAAAAAAGTTAAATACTAATATTGTCTTAATACTCTTAATTTAATCTAATACTTAATACTCTTAATTATATATATATATATATATATAATATTATATATTATTATATTAATGTTTAATGATAAACCAATAGCACTAGTGGCAATATTCTGCTCCATCTACATCTGTCGCCACAAGTTACCACTGTATTTTGATCAGATTTACCTAAGAGGTTAAACTAAGCACCAGGGTGGATCTATAGATCAATGTGAGCACAAGAATATTGAGCTCATATTGGTATAAATATATACATGAGTTTCATACTGAAGCTGCTGGAAACCTTACAGTAAAGTCATGTCTGCCTCATCAGAGTCATTTCTTCTGTTTGCAGTGGACCCTGAAGTAAAACACACAAGACATGAAAAGATAGAAAACAGACTAAATTCATTCCTAAGAGTAAAAGGAACAGTGGCTGTATAGTAATCACCAATCACCAATAAATAATTATGCATGAAGAAGATAAATATAATACAATTAATATAAAATCTAAAGCAAGTGAAGTTAATGTGTGATTGTGTGAGTTTTCTTTTTTAATCAATTAACTGCCATAAAATATTATTTAGAATGAACAGATAAAAATGAAAGATATTCTGGAAACCTATGATGAGGACAAGGATCATGATAAGAGTGATTTTCTGTTGCCATTAACATCTTAACATTAGCATCTTAAAGTGAAGCTCTTTTATGCTATAAAACAACAACTATATCTGTATCTGATCATCTCTCCATAATCCAGTAACATCTGTTTTAGAGTGACCGTTTCTCCCTCCATCACTGGTACTGACTTCATTTCAGCACAAAAAAACAAACAGAACAGAAATTAGAGCAAGAAAACTAACCAGGCATGTTTTATATATTGGTCTTTTTTCAGGCCGAAGAAAATCTGTTAGACCCACAGGGAAATATACTCAAAGTAAACGGTCCTATGTAAATAACAACAAAAATTAGGAAACCTAAAAAACTGACCGAGCTGAATTGACAATTTTGGTAAAATTGGAAACCCACTAATAATGCAGAAACAGACATAAATAGTAAGCAAAATCAAATTACCAAATAACTTAAAATACTAGGCTTGACAAAAAAAAAAAAAATCCATT